ACCAAATAATAAATTAATAATTCCGGTAATTGACTATTGACTAGATTTAGTGATGGAATCGTTAACTGCCAGACACTGCCAACTAATTCACTCCTAAGCGAGCGATTAGTTCATCAAAAATATATTTAATATAATATATTAGTGAAGCGATGAATACAAGGGAAACAATGAATTCAATAGAATTCATTTGCGAATGAGTCCTCTGGCCTGAGGGAAGGACTGATTGGCACTCGCAGTGTCCGGCCGTGAGTATAAATTTCGAGACGAACTCCGATTTGATATCTTAAGCGCAGTCAACGGACGCAAAATATTGCCGTTTGACTCCTTTTCCTTCCCTTTTCGACGAGAAGTCGGCGCAGGAATTGTACTGAAAAGACAACCAAATATTTCACTCAATTATAATCTAAAAGTATTGCAAACAATCCAATGGTTTACCTGATCTCGACGTCAATATCGTCTTCGCGTTTGAGTGCGTTGTCGAGCGCAGCCCTCACTCTCGGTGATAGTCTGGGAGCCGTATAGTCTTTGGTGGTGCGGCAACTCATCTCGAGTTCGCAGTCCATTATATTCTCACACCTATACCTCACGCCAGCGCTCACTTCGGCGGCCAATCGGGCGAACTCTGAGATGGGATACCGATATCCGGCGCAAGAATTGGGTCGTTTGCATACATTGCTGTCGACGCTCGACGTCTTCATTATCTTCCAATTCTCTTCGTCCTCATCGAAGACAATACGACTCAAGAGTTTATTTTTCTCATCGATTGGTATAAAGTTGTCGATAACGAGGTATTTGAGTTTCAATTCCTTCATGAGTTCGTTTTGCATATTTTCCAACTCTCGTCGTTCGCGTCCATTCGCTTCCATCACATCTTTGGTCTCTGTTTTAATTGATTGCAATTTTGAAACCAATTTCTTTAACTTTCTTCGCTTAGACTCCACTTCGTGTTGAAGTGATGTAAACGTCTCTCTAATCTCGAGTACAGTCTCCTCCTGTTCTTCCAATCTCTGCAACATTTCTCTCTCCCGTCGTTTCTGAGTCATCAGTTCCTTACTCTTGAGCTCTAATTCCATCTGTTGTTGATTCGTGTGATCGACAATATTCTTGCCGCCGACCAATAGCTTGCTTTCCATGGCTTTGATCTTTGCCTGAAGTTTTTCGGCCGCTTCGGTGTCTATTTGAGGCCCCGTTTCGGACACAGGAGTAGTCGACTGATCGTCGCTTATATTACCGGACAATCGGTTCTCTTTTCGTCGCCTCTTTTCGATGAGTTGTTGTTTCAGTTTTTCAATCTCTGACTGAAACTCTCTGAGCAGTGCGTCCTTCGGGTCCTCATTAACGCGCGGATTATTCTTAATATTCTTGGCTCTGTTGGCATACC